TGCTTGTAATACAGTTGACCCTCTGAACCGCAAGACCTGCCGGCAAGTTTGAAAGGCTCGTCTTTATCTGGTGTCTCTGAAAGAAAAGCCGCTTTCTTGAGCTAATCATGTGTGACGTGTCAGTTTAATGAGAAAACCATCTAAATCTGAGCGTTTTGTCTTGATAAAGTGAGCCTATTTTACATGTTTTAATTCAAAAAATCAAAAATCCTATCAGGAAACATTACAATCAGAACTTCTTGGTGCAACTCAGAAGTCCTGACTGACTCATTAACATATATTTCTATAAGTTAAAGCAGCCATGTCTATACAGAGCAGGCTGAGGACAAATATGGAAAATAGTTAGACAGATTAAGAGTTAAAAAGAATGATCAATAAAATAAACACAGCGTGGCTCAGAAACAGTACGTAGTGGTGCATGTCAGCCAGCTGTTATAAGACACATTCAGCACAGTGAAACATCAGCATTGTCTGCATAGAAGTGATCGTGATGAAAAATATCATTAGTAGCACCTGCATTTGGAAAAATATTGCACATACTGAATGCAGGTTGTTTTTTTTTTTTAAGCATTATTTGTTATACTGTGAAAAATAAATTGTAATTTGTTGTTCTGTAAAGCAGATTAAATGTGGCACGGCTCAAAAACAGCACACAGAGGAGCAAGATACATGCAGCACGGTGAAAGAGCCGTCGGTTTTAAAATTTATGTAAAATGAATACAGTTGTGACTCGATAATCCGACTCTAAATGTAAAACCTGAAAAGGCTAAAAGGCTGTCGGATTGTCAAGACGGAGGTTGACATACAAGGAGGGCTTGATGCTGGAAGGCTCATTAGTTGTTAATATTCATTGTTTATAGTTGTTATAATAACTAGTAGGGTCTCTTTCTGGTCTCTGGATATTCAGGCCCAATTAATGATGAATATCAGAATATTCAGCACAGTCAGGGGACACTTCCACCCCGGGGCAGCGCTCTGACGGGGTGGAAGTGTCCAGAACACACAGGCAGTACTTGGCTGCTGATGCTAGTTTAGT